CCCAAAAAGGAAAATAAAAAAAAAAAAAAAAAAAAAAAAATCAGATAGAAATGCATTACTCTCACAGGAACACAACAAAGGGACCAGTATTCACTCTACTCAACTGGGTATGATTCCCTGTACTCACTGTAACTGAATGCCAAGCTAACATCTGCAGTATAGACTAAGTCAGTCTCTAATGTATGGGGTTTAGGCAGACAGATGAGAAAGAAGCAAACTTCCATTTGCTGGGTCCCCATTATGCACCAGGCACTATACTAAAATCATTATTTAATACTCACAACTCAATCATTTGAAACTGGTATTCACCAAGGGCCTACTATGAGCTAAGTCCTTTTCTAAGTACACTGTAAATCTGATGGGTGTGACCTGGACCCTCTCAGAGCCTCCCTTCTGGAGGGAGACAGAAAATAAACCAACAAGCAATTAGGTAACTTCAGAGAGGGATGAAGACCAGGTCTGTAAAGCAAAGGGATGTGAACAAAAGATAGTTTGGAGGATGGACAGCACAGAGAGGGTGCCACCTCTGTGACAGAGCACAGGTGGAGAGGACCAAATGGTAAGAAAAAAACAGCCATGTGTGGATGCTGGAAGGGTGTGCCAGGTTAAGGGCCCATGAAGGAATAGCGCACTGTGATAGAGGTCACTACAGATGCAAAGGAAGGTGTTGCAAGAGACTGCTGGAGGGGTTTCACACCATACAGGAATGGTTTGTGTTGCTAGGATTTTCCTATGATCACATGGACTTGATTCTTTGACAATGACACATATAACTTCAAAAATTACAGCGTTGTTCATTAAAACAAATTTTAGTGGAAGCTTTTAAGCCACAACAGAGCAGAACAATTGGTAAATCTGTAAACTGTGAGGATATATTGCTTACACTGAGATTTCCAATTACAGCAATTTGCTTTAAATATGCTTCGGTCCTTGATTACCACTCACAGAGCTTTCTTTGGCTACAACAAGTAAAAGGTAGGAAATTTACATGTATTTATGGGAAAGCAAATACTTCCATTAAGTAAGAACTCAACAGTAGCAATTGGCAAAAACAGAATTTGTGATGCTGCTAATTTGGTCCCCCCTAAAAGGGGTCTAAGCAAGCTTGTACTAGGGACAAGTCTCCTATGGAGTCAATTTGTCATCCCTGTCATGTGTGGGAGGCTGCAGAGTGAAACAGAGGGAAGCATTTTTGAGACAGGTGACCTGGAGTATGAGGAAATCAGTGGCCATGTGGGGAAAGAAAGGGCATGGATAGTGTTGTGTCCTGCCTAATTCTATTTTCTGAACGTCCCACGCTAGGTCATGACAGATACTCTATAAACAGTCCTAAGACTGAGCCCCAGGGTTTATGAGCATGGCTATTTTTATTAATTATTTTTCATTGCATCAAATTAGAGTTTACAGAATATGGCTAGGAAAAATGCTTGTACTTAGTCCGAGCCTGAGTGTGAACTCCAAAATGGTGGAAGGAAATGCCAGAAATAAGGTTGGGCAAGGACGGTAGTGACGAGCAGAATTCCCCACCTGGCTCCTCCATTCTCAATGAGCCACGATGCCATTGTTCAAGAAAGTTGAAATTGCAGTTTCCAGATGTGTTGGGAAATGAGCACTTTAAAAAAATTTAGAACGGTCAATGTTTCTCCAGAGCCTAATTGTAAAATAACTGTATAAACTCAGCCTGTCTAAATTCAAAACGTGTAAGTGACCTACATTCACTCCCACGTGGGTCTCTGCCCTGGCCAGCATGGCCTATTTTGACTTTGGCACCTTGGACTGGTTCTAATACCATGACAATCCCCCAAGTTTCCTGGAGCCTGTCAGACCTTGGAGGGTTTCCAAGCCCTGACCATGGGAGCTCTACTCACTTCACCTACAAGTTACTCTTCCCTCTCTCCTTCAGGCAATAAACTTCCTCTTTTAATTTTAACATAGCACAAAGTGACCACAAATGTAAAATGGCATGCATAATCTTTGTAACAGCTGGCCAAACCCAATGATTAGTGCCAAGCTCATTTATTTCGGTGATCTGCTCCCATGTTTTAGCCCATTCCAGTCTTTAGCATGTCAAGGCTCTCCAACAAAACCCTGCTGCGTGAGTGGATATTTGAATAAATATTTAAAATTTATAAACTCCAAAGGAACAAAGAGTATCATATTGAGTATCATTTTTGCCACTAGTAGTTTAAAATTCAATTAAGTCAAATACTCTGTGTGTGTATGTGTGTGTGTGTGTGTGTGTGTGTGTGTGTGTGTTAAAATGAGGAAAAAGGACCAGGGACAGTAAAAAACCTAACAGTCTCTATATCTTGGAGTCAGAATGAACAGTCTCCCAAATAAAGCTACTTTATTTTCAGAATGACATTTTGCTAAAAGAACAGTTTCATTATGATGGGTATGTTTTTCTTGGTTTCTTTGCCCTGGGAAGTTTTTGAGAGATGTCTATGTTCAGTTTCATAAAAGTGCACTGGGGCAGTCTCAGGGCTGTGTGGAACTTGGAATCAGAGCTATTTTTGATTGATATTCTGGGCATAACTTCTGCTTGGCTAAATGCTCTCCAATCTAAACTTACCTGGTTTGTCTACATGTCTAAGAATAAGCTCAGTGCCCAGGACAGTAAGTGTGGATCCATAAATTACTCGAGGCTTGAATAAGTCCCAATAACTAAATATACTCATACCCAAATAGACAATCTACATGAAGTAAATGTTGCCATTCTTCAGCTTTAAAAATCTTCATCTCTAGCACACACAGAATCCTGTAATGGGAGGAAGACTGTAACTTTCTGTTTATCTTCATTTTTAAGAGAACTCACACTTCATTCTTATGAGCGAATAAGTGTTACCCAAATGTATTCGGTAGCGGGCATACAGAGGTTCATAAACCTGTTCAAGTGTCTCAATTTCTTGAATAATGTTTTCACAGCAATAAAAAAAAAGTGTGCACTTTTGGCCACCAATGAGAGAGATCATGAGCCTACTATAAAGCTGCTGCCGCAGGCACAGTCTTCCAAATCTTGGCTTTCTCCTACTCCAAGCTTTTTTGCTCTTCAGTGTGAGGAATGCTTCTGAAGTAATTGGGTACTGCTCTGAGCGTTAAGCATGGGTTTAGTGTAGTAAATCATGGGTTGGTACTTTTGCAAATGCCAGATTCAAAATGCTTACTTAAAAATGTGCCACTTGCCAATGACAGACAGGAGAGGAACTCGGTGGCTTCAACTATCAGGTGAAGGAGGCTACAATCTCTGCTGAATCCCACTGCCAGACTTTCCACAACGTACTGTGGGTCTCTCCCTGGCCACTGACCCACGAGAACAAAGGGAGCAGAAGGGACGAACGGGGTCAGGATGGCCAATGAGCATGACGGGAAAGACCTTCCAGGAGTCAGATTCAGTGATACAGCTCCGTTTATTCAGTGGGGGTCAGGGAAAAATATATTGTGGCGGCAGCAGCCAAAGCTGATAGGTCCTCATAGTCTGCTTTATTTACATGTGGTAGGGGGATCCTATTATCTGGCTATAGGGCAATGCCTAATTATCATATAGAAAAAACCTGGGGGCAGTTTTATTGCAGGTAACTATGCCAAAGATCATGTTCCAAATGTCAGGCATCTGTGCTTGGAGGCACTTTCCAGGTTAAGTCAGGCAGAGAACAGGAGGCCCCTATTAAGAAAGGAGTTGACCTTAACAGCAGGGTTCCCCAACAACTTACTGTGCACCCCCCCATTATTCCCAACACCTTGACTCCCGCCCCCCCCCAAAAGCCCTCCACTGTTGGGCCATGGATGCCATTAGCCTTCAGAATTTTTTTCCGGCTCACCTCTTAAAGGGCTGTTTTCTGTTGATGGACCTTGATCTTCCCTTGTTTCTCTTTTTCATCTTCCACCTGGTAACCACCGCTGCTTCCCCAACTCCTTCCACTGCCTGTGTTTTAAGCTTTTCCTGATTGGCCCCAATGGGTTACCAACCTCTTTCTCTGAAGTCTGGTATCATTTCTGTCTGGACCTCTCATTTGACTTGTTTTCCAACTATGTTTTCTTCCCCTCCCCACTATATAGAAGTTCACAGAAAACAGGGCTATGGGCCTTCAGAGTCTGGAGCCCACAGGGTCTATTGAGAGCCTTACCAATGGTACATACTAAATCAGAGGCAGAACTGTGGGATTAATCCCACTGCTCTGGTTTGGTTTGGAATACAGTGCTCTAAAATACTTTAGCAACTAAAATTCAGGAGCTGTCACATACAGATCTGGATTTGGAGTTATTCTCAGGAAAAGGGAAGAAGAGAAGAAGTTCTGGTAGCACTGGGGCCTCATTCCCATGGCAAACTCCCAGCCGCACTGCCACCCCTGTGGGGGTTAGTCATGTGCTTTCCCATTACTGTAGCTCTGTCTGCCTCCTGCTTGAGTAGCTGCTGCCCTTCAGGAGCCTGGGATGCATAAGGCCTTGAAACCAGACTCCTGGACTGCATCAGTGCTAACACACTAAATAACAGAGAATGAGACAGCCTTACAAAAAGTAGAGCTTATTTCACAGCTAGTAAACTTTTTAAATACACCTTACCTATAGTACATAAGCAGATGGTAAATGCCATGTCCATGTGCTCTACTGAGCACAGTAAGTTGTATGTAAACAGTTGGAACAGTGAGAAAAGAACGCTACAAACTTCTGGCTCCAAAGCTTAGCCAAATGACTCTCATCTGTTCTGGGAGACTCAGGAGTGTCTAAGAAGGACAGCAATCCATCCTCTATCACGATAAAAAATGTTGGAAGAGATAACAATTACAAAGTTCGCATGCTCACGTGTGTGTGTGTGTGTGCGTGTGTGTGTATATACTTT